ACATTTTGCATTTCGAGGGGGAGAATCGCATCCCGAACATGCTTGCATTGTTGCTTAGTGTGGTCAGAATACTGCATTTTGTCAGTCTTCACCAAATAGAACTATGTCATCAGCATATTCTAAGTCAACAAGTGAACCTCCCGGTAGAAGTTCAACCACTGGAAATCTAGACGAGGAAAGTGTTATCTCTAAAAGTACGTCAATGACAAAGTTGAACAAGAATGGAGAGAGTGGATAGCCCTGACGAACACCACTTGAGATAATCAATTCTGATGACAGTTCTCCATAAGCTCTCACTCTACCAGCTGTGTTCGAGTAGAGAGCCTTTATAAGGTTAATGTACTTCTTTGGTACTCCTTTCAGTGACAAACACTGCCACAGAACCTTACAATCAACAGAATCGAATGCCGCCTTAAGGTCGAGAAATACTATGATTGTGGGGCGTCTGAACGTGTGTCTGTGTTCTAGAGCCTGACGTAGTGTGAATATGTGGTCTATACAACCACGGCCAGGTCGGAAAGCAGCCTGGTTTTCTCTAGTCTGTTCTTCACGAGCTTTAGTTAGGCGGCGAAGAATTATTGAAGCAAATATTTTAGACACTACATTAGTCAAACTGATTCCTGTGTGATTGTTACAAGAGGACTTTTGTCCTTTCTTATTGACTGGCACAATCAGTGATTGAGACCAGTCAGATGGGATTACGTCCAGTTCCCAAATTCTACCTAAGACCTCAGTCAATCTCGCTGCTAATACTGAACCACCATCCTTAAAACTCTCAAAAGTAAACCTGTCAGGGCCCGCTACTATCCCACGCTTCAGACTTCCTATAAATTTCTCAACTTAGTAAAGGGTTGGAGGACTTACATCAACTTGCCATTCAGGCTGACTGGAGATCGTGGGAAACCGAAGTGTGGCTGAAGGCCAGTTGAACTGATCCCTAAAGTGTTCTGCCCATCGATCCAATCTCCTGGATTGAGAATGAATGATATGTCCATTTTTTTTCTAGATAGTTTCGCTAACAGTCGGGCTCCTAATACCGGTTTCCTTAACAAGTCTGAACAAATGTCTGCTATTACCTATTGCCGCTGCCTTTTCCATCTCTCTTGCTTTCGTTATCCACCACTGTTCACGATCATTGCGTAGACTTCTTGTCAGCTTGCGCTTAAGCTGACTCCGCTCTTCGTTACGCTCAGAGCCAGATGGAATGAGTTTTTGAGCATCTATCAGTGCGGTAGATGCTGCTGAGATCCAGTGTTTCTCCCTAACCTTATGGGTTACCGTACTAGCAGATATCACTGCTGTTTCCACAGCTTTTCGGATATCATTCCATGCTGCCTCGGGGTGGGTATCACATACATGGCTGCCTAACTGTTTTCCTAGTTGTTCCTGAAATATAGTCTTAGCTTGACTATCATTAAGTAGGGCCCTAAGAAGTTTACTTGCAGCGTCTTTCCTACGTTCAGTAAGACGCAGACAGATACGCGCTCGTACTAGTGCATGATCTGAGTCTAAACATGTGCTCCAGGATGAGCGACAGTCTTCTACCGAGCCCATCCATCGGTGGCTGATAGCGATGTGATCTATTTGGCTCCAACGTTGGGACGAATTAGGGGGTCGCTATGTTAAAAGATGTTTTTCCTTATGCTTAAAGTTAATATTTGCAAGAAAAAGGCGGTTATCTGAGCATAGCTGCAACAGACGGTCGCCATTATCTGTTCTTTGAGCCACGACACTATTAGATCCGCCCAGATGTCTTTCCCTATCGCTTAGTTTACCTACTTGAGCATTAAAGTCATCGACCACTATTACTACATCCAAGCGCTTAGCTTTTAAAAGAGCTTTCTGTAAAGCTCATCTTTTATATCATCTGAGCTGCAGTCAGTGGGAGAATAGGCAGAGACGACGAAGAGGCAACGACGAGTGTCCCCATCTTTTCGGATCCTTACTGTTCCGTTCAGTCGGACAGCGCACAAACGACTGTCTACTGGGATTCAGTCTAAGAGGGCTAGTTCTGCCCTAGGACTCAATGCTATACATACGCCGGCGAGGCCACGGGAAGCAGAATCAGGGCTTCCAGATACACGAAGTGTGAATCGAGTCGGTTCTTCAAGACCAAAGGAAAAGAGGAAGACCAAAGAACACATTACGCCGAGAAACGGAGATAGACATGAGAAAAATGAACAAGAATTGGATGGAACTAGAAAAGAAGGCCCAAGACAGATTGGGTTGGAGAACGCTGGTCGGTGGCCTATGCTCCATTGGGAGTAACAGGCCCATATATATATATATTTGTTGAGGTTAATTTATTCTTTTTCCAATATTTGTTGATGTTATTATCTTCTTCTAGTGATTTATATGATAATTCAGTTCCTTATGTATCAATGTGCAAGCTTCTAAATATTTTCAGATAGCTTTATTTATAAACATATGTGTTTTCTCGTCGTCGATGTTGAAGACTGAGATTGGTTACTTTCTTTCCGCAAATATAAATCTTGAATGGTTTGTCTCGATACCAACATTTTCCCGGAGGCTTTTTTAAAAATATTTGAGTTATAGTTAGCAGTGGAACACATGATACTCATTTAATCCTATTTATAACTCTTTAGCTAGATTTTCTTGAATCCTAGTGGTGAAGTCTTTACAGAGACTTCGGTCCACAAAACAAGAACACTAATGAATACGCAACATATCTATTATACAGGTTAATGGCTATTTTATCCTTAGCTTAGTCGATAACATGTTATTGTTCATATCGAAAGAGCTCAGTTCGAGCCTTGGTGTGAACATCAGTACTTCGACAAAGGTACATCTAGCCGATGTGTTCCCGTAAAGATGCAACGTGCTTCCTGGGTTCCACTGCTAACCAATATCCAGCTTTGATTAATACTCAGCTTGTTTTCTTGCGAATTCGGACGTTGTGATGCATTAAATATTTAAAATTAACTATTCTTATATCGTACATTAATGTATTTTCTGATAGTCACTTAATTTTGACACAGTTCATCGAATCAAAATACATTTGTAAACAGTTTATTTTACATGAATATGTGTTGCTACATATTTTGTTGCTAAGCTAGTCTGTTTTAAGTGATGAGGACATTTTAATCAAGCTTAGTGAAACGTGAGAATTCCTTAGTTGATGGATAAAAGTAAAAATTAACATATCTTTTTGCCTACCTCTAATTCTCATAGTTGAATTTAATGACTGGTTGGAAATAATTCATTTGTAGTGAACAGAACACGGGTGAGAACAATCGAATCAATTAGCACAAAATTACAGAATTACTTGGTAAAATAGAAAAACCATACTATAATACTTAATTTGTAAAATGTTCAATAATTGTCTCGAACTTCGTTGTTCTTGCATTTCCATAGTAATTGCTTTCTATTCCCGCTCTTCCTTTCTTGATCTTCCCCATCTTCTGCTTCCAGGCATTACATTTCTGACTCGCGTTATATACTACTTATATCAATATAAGTTGCACGCACCACACATTCACTAGAGTTTTTTTCGATTACGGTGTTATGGAGTAAAGTGGAGTGTTGGATGTGTACTTCGTTAAGTGGTTAGAGGTAGCCAACAGGAAACGGGTTCTATGCTAGTTAGCATTCGTCAGCAACCAGTACCAACAATCTTGAGGATATTGATATTCCATCAGTCAGTCAGTCAGTAGCAACGTAGAACTTCGTACGTACATACATGAGTTCGAGTTGCCATACCACATTAGCACATAGATACAATTGTCGATTCAAATCCCGTAGTGGTAGACGTAGTAAGAGTATAAGCAGTAATCGGAAAGATTAGGGTTTGAAGATATTGTTCAAGGAGTATAATCCAGTGAAATTTGGAAAGAGAAAAAAAGGGACATAACTTTGTGGTCGGGTTTGCCTATCGTGATGACCCAACCAAGCTATATTGGCTGGAACATATGTTCCTGTAGGTCCTACCACGCCAGGCAGGTCGATTGGAGAACGGTAAGACTAAAAGCAGCAACTCAAGGTCTGAGGGCTGACTTTAGAGGTATGTGACAGCAGTAGGGTGTTTCCTTCTGTCAACCAGCATCTGTAGCGATGCTGCTTTCTCATAGGGAAGGGTGGGGTTAGAATAGATCGACCCTAAAATTTTCATACTTCACCTTACCTCACGGATTTCCGTCCCCGGTGGTAAGGTCCTTTGAAGAACGGAGCTAACACATTAGAAATCTCCCACAAAAAGGCCGTCCGTGACCGGCCTCAAGTAGTTGTCCCTTGGGCTCTGCGGTCACGCTCCCAGGTCACTAAGACCAACAATAATCCAACTTCCTTTTCAGGTTCTCCAAGAAAAACCCTTCCACGGTGTGGGCAGTCAGGAAGTGATATCAGCCCTCATACCCGTAACAGCACACGACACCACGTTGGTCACATTCAAATCCTTCAAATTGATATTCCTTATGGAATCTAAACCTGAGTAATCAAATTCCATAGCTTGAAATATTACCACCAGTGACTTCCTTAAGAATGAAGATATTTACGGTTGGTTGGCCACTGAGTAGTGACCGATATCATGTTTGTTTAGTCTATAAGTGCTAATGGAATTCTGTTGATCGTTATTATTTCTCTATTTTGATCTTTTTTAAAATTATTTGATCCCTGAGAAATTGGAACCGGTGTCGTTCTTCTTTGTAGCTTGAGACATTATTATTGAGCTATCCGAAGAGCGATTTCGAGTTATTCAGATTAATGGTTATTATCGTAACTTAATGGATATAATTCAATCATCGGTAGATGACTAGACAAACATATCACTGGTCACCATTTAGTTTTTTATGCAATTTTCCCCGTTTTGTTTTGTGAATTCGGTTATTATTATAAATATTAGTGGATTAAATAATGCAATATGTTAATCATATATCTTTATTAATAATATTGTCAAAAATATTGTATTTTTATCCTAAGTAAAAATAAATTTATTTGTTAACTTAGCCACTTCATATTTTATTTTTATCCTACATTTCCTATAGGAGACGGAGTAATTACGTTAGATGAACTTAGTAATTATTTATTACTGCACGAAATCCACTTCGCACATTGACCAATGATAATGTTGAATTTTTATCAAAATCATATGAATTAAATCATATTGATTTCATATATTATAGTGCGATCAATTGAAAATATTGATTTTAAACTGAGATTTAATTGCGGTCCATATATATATATATATAGAAAGATAATTCCCATACCATATTTTATTTATGTACATCATGTATAAACTTAATAATACACACATATACTTTATCATCTAAATATTGTGATCATTGAATTTCTAACCTTACATGGCTATTTAGCCCAATATATCTTTTTCTGGAGCAAAGATTTATACTTATTTATAACAGGGATACTTTTAAATCATAAAATTTACTCTCTTTCTATCATTGTTGTTATCTAATCGATTATATTATTATTATTATTTCATCTCACTTTAGCATCGTTGTTTTATTCATCTTCGAATTAATAATTTACCTTATTTTTATCCTTCCTAATGATTTTTTTCTCATATTATATATATATATATATATTTGACAGTACTATTGAATAATTAACTACATACATACCTTTCTACATTACAATAAATGAACAATATTACCTGTCATTCTAATGTCATATATCCTTAACTCATTAACATTTTGTAAGAAAATGCATTCAGTACGCATCTGTGAATCAAAACGTAAATTTATTATTTATTTTCAAATATATATATTACAGTAAGTGTTTACAGAAATCGAAAGGAATAGTGAGAAGGATTGTTTATTCTAGGTTTTCATTTTCTGGACTTGCTGTATAATAATAACAAATTATTGGACTGATCAAAGTGCAGTCTTAAACATCTATTAAGATTGACTCTGCCTTTTGTTGATGAGTGGCGACTAGTCCGAAACCTGTTTTAATAATTACATATTGCTGAATTACCGCAACTTTCCAGCATAAATAGTAATATCACAGGTTGTGATAAGCACAAAATGACATGGGTTAGAATCTTACCTAAAACGTCAGGTATTTCAATTTTGCAGGTATGTCTTGCTGATTGGTGATAATTTGTATGAAACGTACGTTTAAGCCTACTTAACAGTTGCCTTCGTCTACATGAAATTAAAAGTAGTTCGGCTTTAATACAACCTTAAATCATTATGCTTAAACCGTTGTAACTGGCTTGTTTAGTATCAATAACCTACTCGATTCCACTATCAATAGGATGCAATCGGATAATGAGAATTAGACAACCGACCTAACCTTTACGTGACTGACTCGACAATTCACATAATTATATATTTAGATTATTTGCCTTAAACATTTCCTTATTAAAACTCACATATGATTGACTAAAACACGGTAATATAATAACAAGTAGTTTCTTACATGACTGTTAAGAATTAAAACATAAAAAAACTCATAAACTAAATTTTTGATCAATAGACTTTAAAAAAAATATTTACTTAATTACGCCTATTACCCCCAATTGAGCATAGGCTACTAACCAGTATTCTCTAACCCACTCTGTTCGTTCTAGTTCTATACAATTGTTGTTCATTCTTCTCATGTCTGTCTCTACTTCTTGGCGTAACCTATTATTTGGTCTTCCTTTTCTCCTTTGGCCTTGACGATTCCAAGTGAGGGCTTGCTTTGTGACGCAGTTGGGTGCCTTCTTCAATGTGTGTCCTATCCACTTCCAGCGCTTCTTCCTGATTTCTCCCTCCGTTGGAATCCGGCTTATTTTCCCCCACAGTAGGTTGTTTCTCATAGTGTTTGGCCAACAAATCCGAAGTATTTTGCGTAGACAGCTGTTAATAAACACTTGTATCAAGATTTAGATGGTGGTTGGTGGTAGTTAACAGGAAACCCTGGACCCGGATTTCGTGCTACTTGGCGCTCGTCAGTTGTATCTTCTGGATGATGGCTTTCGTAGTTCTCCAAGTTTCCGCCCCATACAGTAGAACTGTCTTGACATTTATATTGAAAATTCTGTCTTTGGTGCTGGTTGACAGACATTTGTTTTGAGTTTCAGATGTTCTTCAGTTGAAGAGATGCTGCTCCTGCCCTGCCGTTCTGTGCCTTCACAACTGCATCAGATCCACCATGTTCATCAATGATGCTACCCAGATATGTATAGGTTTTAACATCTTCCAAAGCTTCTCCACCAAGTGTGATTCGATTGTTGCATGCCGTGTTGTATAGGAGAATCTTGCTTTTCCCTTTGTGTATATTGAGACCTACTGATGCTGAGGCTGCTGTTATACTGGTTGTCTTCTCATTATTAAAAAATACAGATCACTCAAAGAGAAAATAACTTCACAAATTTGTTGTTCTCATTTGATGGTTATTGTCTTAACAAGTCGAACGTTCGGTCACATAGTATACAGAATAGGTAAAATTTATTTCAATATTTGCTCACTAGTGACTAGCTTCAAGATGGATTTCCTGGAGTTCTAGTGACCAGTAGATTCCAATCCATGTCTGGTGGTAACAGTTACCTACCACAGACAATGTATGAAGAGTTGCGCAAGATCATGGATAGATTGAAGTTAAATATTAACACTATTAAATACCGGCCTAGTGATCTAGAGGTTAAGCGTTTGCGCGCGAGACTGAAGCTCCTGAGCTTGAGCAATCGCGCATGCGGGATCGTGGATGCGCACTACTGAGGAGACCCATACTAGGACGAAAAGACTTTCCAGTGCTTTCAGGTTTCCAGCGTTGGTCTACCTTGGATCGACACATGAATTCAACCATTAAAATTACTACAGTTACCACAGATCCCCATTCTGATGAAATTTAGTTTATCCAAAAGAATTCAAGAACATTGTCCGGCGTGGCTAAAAAGAGGAGGCAACGGCTCAATAAGAAGTTCAATAATCGAACACCTTGTGAACACAGTTCACTCAATCAAGACAGACTCTATGTTTAAAGTCATCTACAAGGTAAATAGAAGCCTTCCTAAGACAATTAGATTGCATCTTCTTTGCATTGCCGAGGCAATAGCCATATATTTTGAAAAACCAGAATTATGTGTACAAAAGAGACTGGTACAACCTCTTCTTCTACCATGGTCTTAATGTATTAAAATTTTTTTCTCTTTCTTCATACTCTTGTTCCCTTACAGCCACCTGCTCCACCTTCCATCTTCCCTTCAAATCTTCTGCCCCCAATCGGTTTGTTTTTATTTCCACGATCATTTCAATTACATTTCATTTCTGTTTCAACATTTTATTTTATCATGCTGAGCCATCCTTGCCTAATGAATATTTAAGCCATTAACTATCAAACGATTATTAAACTTTCCTTGTTTTAAAAATTTTTTCTAATACCTTTGTTTATTTAACCTCACTCTCACCATGTATAACAGAAGTTTATTATCAGTATTATTATCACCCTGTAAAAATAAGTATATATATTTGCGATTATACAGCTTTGAAAATGAATTCGCCGAAAAGAGAACTCTTCGATGAACTAATTTTTCTTTCTTATTTAATGTCATAATGGGTGTATTCCGTTTATTAAGAAATTTATTTCATCATAAAAGATGCACAAAATGGACATCATTGTAAGGCCTCCGTAGGTATTTCGCAAATTTTATAGTTTATATCACTTAATGATTTTAAATAGATAGCAAGTGAAAATTAGCTAGTACTGGATAGTTGTTTCCTCTAAAAATAAGGTTCGTCTCCAGTCTCCAGTCATGACTGCATTGAGAATTGTGCTCAGCAACATCAAGTATTGTAGTAAGCAAATCTAGGTGGATATCCATTGTTCATTAGTATCTGCGTCGTTTATCAAGCTCGATATCGATTGTATCCTTGGTACAGATTCATCTGGCCCTCATGTAGAGATAATGGATCATCTTCTTGTCTTGCTTCAGTAGGACCCAACTCTGAAAATTCACGTATCGTCCACACCAATGAAAGGAGATAGTGCAACAGAAATTCTGGTAAACAGACCTTCAAAATCTCTGAGGAAAGTATTCCATTCACTCGAACTTCACATCATCTTTTCTGGTCGGCTTATAATTCGTAGTTGTGTCAATGATAAGCTTCCGCTTTGTGCCAAATCAATGTGCATCTATCAGTTTACTTGCTCATGTGGACCAGATTGTACTGGCCACATAATGCGAGCTCTTTTGAAACGCAGTCAGAAAGGCTTGCTTAAAAGAACCCTATGAGCATCAGATACTTTGCTATCCACCACATCAAGCTTAACCTTTGCGTACAAAAACAGTATGTTCAGGCCCTCATTCGTCCATGGCGTCAACTTTCCATTCTAGAATGTTGGTTGGAAGTAGTCCGCAGGAAACCCTGGACCTGGGTTTCGTACTACTTGGCACTCGTCAGCAAGATGTACCTGTAATCTTGAGGGAACTGATGCTTCCTGACGGATTCGATCCCGTGTCGCCCAGCTTAACAGTCACCTAGACTAGTGGTCACATTACAACTTTGTCGATAGGATATGCACTATCACAACTTTTAATTATTCATTTCTTAATAGCTATCACGAGGACAATTATCTTTACCTCAGCACGTTTCAATAGCCGATTACTATATAACCTCGTTTCAATATCTGATTTCTGTAAACAATTCACGAAAATATATCACTTCAAGTTCTTTTAAATTATTTAATACCATTCTATTTTGTCACAGACTACTGCTTTTGCAAATGAAATTAATTATAAATACGCTTATATAACTTGAAAAAAGTGAGGCTGTTGCAAAGGAAATTCTCTTCGTTTAATTGTCTTCATTTATTTTCAGTGACACAATGGGCCTCTGGTCATTATTCATTGGTTTACATTTCCAACTTCAGTCGATTCATGAACAACTGTTCAGTGTTTTCTGGTTTACGGTGGTTACCTAACTAAAATCAGTTTGTGAAGTAAACTATGAGGTATGAATATTGATTGCTACTTAGTAAGTAAGCAAACTAAAAAACAAAACCATAATTATGTTGTAAAAACAACAATATTAATAAATATTGTTTATAATTGTTGTCTCAACGATTCTTGACATAATCCACTGAATTTGTCCAATAATATGATAGACAAAT